AACAAATAGACATCAGTTTTTTATGTGTCTGTCCTCTTATTGACGATAAATTGCATCATCACATTGTCAAAGTAGTGTGGATTCACGAGGCGTAGCCGAGGAGTAGAAGGACTAGAATTATTAAATCGATCCTTTTATTCTTATTTCCAAACTGAACCATTGTCGCTGATTTGGCACGATCCTATATCGACTTTACAGGTCTTAATGGTCAACGACGTCTTCGAGTGTCCGGTATAGCGTGGGCTTTGTATTCAGTTTATGCTAAGCGTTTGCAATATATAGCGGGTTTGTTTGGATAATTCCTAATCAAGTACAAAGCGCCATGTCTTTATTGATATAGTACTAATGATTATGTATGAATGGAGTTGTGTTCAAAGTTCATTGAACTTTGTTGTTCAGACTTAGTTCATGTCATGTTACTGATCATGAGCGTTCGGTTTAAACTATCGGCTTACTGAAGCTAACAGACTAAGCCTTAGCTTTTTAGAACTATTCATTATCTATATCGAGGTTTTATGGCTATAGAATTTAATAGAAACTGTTTTTGAACTATTTATATAATTTCAACGTTAGGTCAGTGAGCAATTTATACAGAGCTGAAGCAAACATCGAAGATAGAAGACACACGAAGATTTTTATGGGAATAAAATACACTATGGATAACAAGGGCTTGCTGAGTCCAACGTAATTTCAATTACGAATTCAAATTGTAGAATAAAGAACTACAATGGAGTAAATTAGACAACGCTATTTGAACCGCTTGTTCTAGTGATGATCTTAAATCTAAACTTCGTGGCAATTTTTGTACTGAATACAATCGATTATATGATACCACTCTCAATAGACAAACATCTATATTACACACYAGACTTAGACTTGGTCATTGTGCTTTAAATTTTTACTTATTTAAAATTTCTTGCAATTTAACACCGCTTTGCGACTGTAATGATGGATCTGTTGAATCCATCTCTCACTATTTCTTACACTGTCCCCGATATGCCGTCCAACGTCAAAATCTGCTTTCGCTTTCCTCACAGCTTTTCCAACATCATACTTCAGAGTCTGATAAAGTAAACTTTTTTCTATGTGGTTCTCCACATTTAACTTTTAAGCAAAATCAAAAATTGTTCTTGAGTGTCCAACAATATTTGGCAGACACCAAAAGATTTAGATAGAGTAAAGAACGCTTAATTGATTTTGTAGATATATTTTCTTTTCCGTTGTACTTTTTCTATAAATATATATATGCTTTTTTCCCTTTCTAATCATTACATGTAATTTCCCACGATGTAGTCTCAATTGTACTTTTCTATATATGTGTGTTTTTCTTGTTAATCAGTTAAACTTATTATCATTTTTCCCTAAAACTCCAGAAACCTTGTAATTACTGTTAACTGTGTAATCTCCCACGATGAGAGAGAGCACAGAGAGTCAATATGTTTAAATAAAAAAATAGAAAAAATATAAAAACTACAATACAAGATCCTCAGTTTTTTAAAAGAAACGAAGAAAATGATTTGCTGAAGTAACTACTACTTAAGAGGACATAAAAATAAAAATAAAAATAAATAAATAAAAATAAAAAAATTATGAATAGTTTTCTCAAATCTCAACTAACATATATGTGATGAAAAGAAATACTAGTTTACCTACCTTGGACCTGATCCTTCAACAAACACACTCCCATAAGCAGCAATAAAGACAAAGAAATTTTTAATGATTTTTTAAGCGCCATTCTAAACGAGCGTTGGTGTCTCCCACGTGTGTCTATGCTGCTGTATTCTACAGTTGAAATGACGACTCATCGCTCAGCTGTTTATATACAAGTGATGCCTAAATACGTTGATGACACAACAGATTAGGATAACCTTTTGTCACATTTGTCCTTTTGAATAACGAGAGATTTTAGGCTCTTGTAAACTTTTTCTCTCTTGTTCATTGGAAAAAATTGCCCATACATTTGGAATATTTGCTCTTTTCGGTCTTTTTCCTCTCTTTCCAAAGCAAAAGGTCGTTCTTAAAAGTAAAGTTATATAGCACAAATAAACTGCGTGACACAACATCCTAAATGACCCGTAAATCTTCTGTTCTTTCGCTTACTACCGTAGTAGCGTGTTTTCGAGGCTACGAAACCTAAGAAACCATAAGAGGCGAATGTATAGGCCAACAGATAGTATGAGCTTAAAAAATCAGCAAAAATACGGTTCTAAATTTTAACAAATTCCTATGAATTATATACCAAAATGTTCAGGAAAGCCAGGGGTTTTCAAATCCACTTCTGTTTTTATGACAGGTTCTGTTTTATTTCAAGGAGAGACGATTTTCTAGCTTGACCCCGGTTATGTCATGCATTTTCTCTTGTAAAATACATCCAATAGCGTACAAAAGGAACCAGATAATGGATAATATAGGTTTCCCTGTATTTTAATATTCAGTTTAGCTTTCCCCCTAAATTTATGAAGATTTCCCAGTTATTAGAATTCCTTTCGACCCAATCCCTATACCTAGAAGTACGGCATGTTACTAAATCACATTCAGGTTGACTATACGATATAACGATTTAGCATATACCAACTTGTGTACTTCCTAAGAACGCGCGCACTCATTGGTTAATTGGAAGTGAATATTGTACGATATTCACCTCTGATTCTCGGAATATTGAGTGGCATCTGCCGGCAATCGTTTTGCTACAATTTCCGATGAGAAAATTGAAAAAAATGAAAGTAAATGCCATTCCTATCAATACTAAAAAGGCAACGAAGTATGGCCTGAAAGTTTTGCTAAAAATTTTGCTAAAAGTTTTGCGTGAATTTGTCACGCAAACCTAAAAGTTTCTGTTTGTTTGTTTTTAGTGAATTATTGTATATAAAAATAAGTTACTCTGTACACAAGTCGGTATATACTAAAAACAATTATTCGCCTCAGGCTCAGTGAATATGGAGAATATTTACCTCGCCGCTTGAAGACTCACGTCTCGGTAAATATTCCCCGATATTCACTTCGCCTTCGGTGAATAATTGCTAATCGCGTTCCCTTTATGTTATTCACTTCAAAACTAGTTTTTCTTGAAGGTAGCCCCCCCCCAAAAATGGGTTTTGAAATTAGTTATCTTGGAACAGGGACGGCGGAGCAGTTTTTTGATTGGGGGGGGGGGGGGGGGGGGGGGGGCTGAGTTTAGTGAAAATGTATTAAAATTTCACAAAAAGTTCCGCCGTCCCTGTGGAAACAGCCTCAACTTACCAACCAACCTCTTCAAGCATGATAACGTTGGCCTTGAGCAATATAAGATAAATCTAGTCGTTTTTTTTGGGACAAACCTTTGACGTATGAGTGCTATAGTTTCAACCGTATTCTTATACAAATTAATACTGAACTTTAGTGGGAACTAAGGGCATGGAAAATCTCAAGTAGTAAATGATTTTAATGATGTGTTGAGAATAACATCTTGTATCAAAGAAAATTTCCGACTTCCATGTGGTTCTGTCTAGGGTATAAACATATTAACTATGGTATAAAACAGCGGTTAAATTAGATGAAGGATTCATTTCATTCCAAGCCAGTTATAAAAATTCGCATCTTCAAGCTTAGCTTCTAAGTATGACAGCAGCGATGAAAATGGTTCTTGTTTTTGCGTTTCTTATTTTGGTTCTTTCAACAGACTGGGCCTTAGGAATTCGAAATCTCGCGAGGATCAACAAAGGAAAGCGAAACTCGATCCACTCTTGCCAGGTAACTGAATATTGAGAAATGAATGCGGATCGTAGTAAAACGTTTATTTAGTCTACAGCAAGCATATACGTGCTATAATTTTAAGCACAGTTTTTTTGGCCATTTTCAAGAGATAATTTACAGTTTTGAGATTAAAATTACCATTCAGATTTTGTTGGAACATCCTCCTGATAAGAATACTAAACAACTGCTTTATTATGTTTACTCCCATTTTTTATAAGTAAAGTCAGACAAAGTCTATTGCTAGATATTTTTCGTTTCTCGGGCTTATACAGTCAATTCAAAAAATGTTGTCGTCAACCAACTCAAGCCTACGCGTTTGGACCGAAAGGACCTCTGGGTAGCAATCATTGAAGCTGAGTTGACTCCATAAGTTTATCTGACTAGTTATGCCTGGTTTACAGCACGAACCTTCGTAGGCGAGCGGGAAGTGTTGAAGGAGACGTTTTTTTTAATGTCTTCATATTTTCGGGATTGAGAACTGAATCATAACTACTTTGTTTTTCTTTCCCTAAACCCGAACACATGCATTGTTTCTCGCCATTATTATCTTATTACTAGCGGGAACAATTAATTCAGAACGAATATTTAACCGCTTCAGTGATTTTTACCCATATTCCTTTCGGTCCAGTCGCGTAGGCTTGAGCCGGTCGACGACAACGTTTTTTGAATTGACTGTATCTCGACTCGTGCTACGGGCAAACGCTTTTGTGTAAAAATTCAATGTTTACTATAATATAATAATTCGTTCGGTACATAGAGTACAAACACTATAAGTGTGTAACATAAATACCACTAAATACTGCTAAATTATGCTAATCCTATTGTTTTCTATTGTTTAATTAGCACTATTTACTACTAAATACTGCAAAGTGTTGCACACTTTTAGTGTTTGTACTCTACCGTGGAAACGCAGCCTAAAACTAAGCGTTTCAACCATTGTTTTTCAGCATGGGACGGATCTAGATGCTGACTGTTTCCGGAGCATAGTCTGTAGTGCTGCGCGGCAAATGAGATGCTATAGTTCAGAAACTATTAACATCACGAACTAGTAGACGAACTTGGAAAGCATCGTGCATATCTGATCCCTCAAATTTGACAATCTCTGGAACTAGACGAGCCAATTATACAGCTATATTGTTTATAATTTAATGATATATAATAAGATTGTTAAAATTATTCTAAAACTTAAAATCTATACTTTCATCGAAGGACGAGATACTTATGTATTGATAAATAGGCTAAAGCTTTAGCTGTTATAATTGCAATAAAAACTAGATTGTTGATAATTCACGTATTTTTTCTTTTTCTGTTTTGTTTACTTTTTATTGTTTTGTTTTCCTTCATACATACATACATACGTACATACAGACTTTACTTAAACACGGAATAAATCATCAGTCAATATCAAAAACAAAAATACATTTACATGATAGTTACTGTAATTTTACATGATTGCCGTGTGGGAACTAATATTCAAAAGGAAACCTGGTTCAATTTACTTTTAAATCTAGCTAATGAACCAGTTTCTTATTTCCTGGGGTATCATTCCATAATTTAGCACCACTGTAACTGAATGTACGTTTCAAATAATCAGTACGTGATTTGGGAATGTAAAGTTTGTTTTCTTGGTCACGTAAGTCGTCCTGCGAGGTAGAATATATATCTTTTAAGTTCACTGGAGTAAGCTCATGCATTGTTTTAAACATGGTTTATTATTGCTTTGAGCTTTTTCCGGCGTGTATGAAGATTATCCCATTGTAAGGCCCGAAGAAGAGTGGTTGAGCTAGTTTCATAATTGCTTTTAGTGATCACCCTGGCAGCACGATTTTGCAGTTTTTGTAGTTTGTCAAACGGTTACTTAACCCATCCCACGTCCACTGTACTGCAATAATCAAAGTGTGGTTGGATTAAGGCCTTATTATTGTTACTGCAGTATCTAAAGAAATAAATGACCCAAATTGAATGAATCTGAAAGGTAAAAATAAGATCGGGAAAAAATCTTCAATTATTTTAATTCGAGATGAAGATCCCATAATAAAGACCATGCACTACATTGTTTTCTTTGTGCGATTATACTCTCCCACTTAGGAATTTTGTACAAAACTCACCCCCACCCAAAGGGGCTAGTTTTGTTCTTTGAAGATTCTTCGACAAAGTTTACCATGGCCGACATTTTTAGGCTTTGAATCTCTTCTACTTAAAAAAAAACGAAAGATAACTACAGATAATCCAATACAATATTAGGTTTAATGAAATTTACCTCGGATGTCTTTCATTGAAATCGAAATTTTGGAGATTCCCGATTCTTTTAGGACAAATCAAGACTATAAAACAGACTTGAAAACTGGTTTTAATGAGCAAAAAAGCTTACTTACTTCTTTTACATAACGATGTATGGTTTAATTTCCATAGGAATTTTGATGTTTTTATATCAAATGTATTTTTGCCGCAATGAAAATAAAAAACAAATGCTTTGGTAGCATCAGAGAGAAAATTGGCTGGAGATCATCAAATAACTAAGCTTGAGAAATGAAGGCCCTGAACGTTAAAACCAAATGTGTCATCAGTTAAAAAAGCTTTCTTAATATCTTAATACTTCATTAAAATAATTTTATTCCTTTCATTATAAGCCTTAGTTAAAGTGCCTATCACCCTTCTGACAATATTCACAGTATTGATTCTACATGGGGTAAGATGTGGAAAAGCCCGAAAAAATTTCAGAGTTTGAGTGCGGCTTCTTGAAGTTATAAAGGTTTTTCCATGCCATATGCTAATGTTGTGACGTATGAGGAGTAATCATTTGATATACAAAACCTTACTGGCACAGATAAATAAAATTTGGAATACGTCATTGTTTTTCCAATTGCTCTTATACAAATTATTGCAAGTTAGTTTTCACATAGAAGCCGGTGTTTCGAATTACGAGGAACAACAAATAACCATAAATGCCTCCTCATACTTCACCGCATTAGCATATGGCATAGAAAAACCTTCATAACTTCAAGAAGCCGCACTCAAACTATGAATTTTTTTCAGGTTAATCGACATCTTACCCCATGTAGAATCAATACTGTAAATATTGTCAGAAGGGTGATAGGCACTTTAACTACTTTTCAAGAAGCTTGAAAACTAAGCAGCTAGCTTACTAGATTTTGAGGTTTGATTTGACCAGTTTTCATAGTTTTCATCTGTGAGAAAGATACGGAAATCACGAACGACAAAAGTTTTCGAAAAACAAAGTTTATATTCAGCTATTAAACTTGACAACTGGGACAAAATAGAAAATAATGCAAAATGCAAAATGACTAATTTCTTTGTCAGTAAATTGGCATTTGTAAATGTTTTTGGATAATTTTTAGCTTTTTAAAGTGAAAGACAAGGTCTTTATCATTTCATATAATCATACTAGCTCGAACAGCTTCATAAACAGTTGAATATCTGGTGTAATTTTACATTTCATTCAATRTATGAATAAATTATCTGTAGAAAGATATAAAATTATTGAATGGAAGTCTTCAGCTTTGTTTTGCCGATGGGACCCGCGACAGGAGGCGAACAAAGCTGCAATTTTCTTGAACGAAAAACATACAATAAATGGTTAAAAACAACTGAATTATTAATGATTTAAAAGGACGGAATATTTGTTGTAATATGCTCTTCGTGTTATTTTTCATCCAGCATTAAAAAAATTAAGCTTATCTATAGAAATATTAAAAGTTTTGAGAGAAAGTCTTTGATTTTCGTCGAAAAAAATGCTTGTCATAAAAAACAGTAATATACGCATTGTTTGCTTAAAAAAACACACCTGAATTCTTGATCTATCTTTGRCTACATGGAAGTTGTTTTTATTTACTTTTGGTCTATAACTTGTCCTAAAGCTATTTTTTCTGCGCATTTGAGAGCCGCATTTGCGAGTAGTTTTGCTTTGACATCAACAATCTCTTCTCCGTATTTTGCTTAATACATCATTTGCTATCCATCAAAAGATCACGCCAGCACTTCCACATTTCATTAGGATCAGAAAAGGAGTTGACCTGATCCCATGGTTTCTGTGCAAGATCTCGCAAAAATTCCTTTTGATTAAAATGTTTAAATTAACGTATTTCTATAACTCGTGCTCCAGTTCGTTCGAAATAAGCCTTACGGGTTATATAAACGAGTGAGTGATCACTGATCCCTAAATGAACTACTCCGGATTGGGTTACCTTTTCGGGAGTGTTTGTTATACATAATTCTATCAGTGTTCGTGAATTAGGAGTAACACGTGTGGGTTCAGAGATCAGCTGACTCAGTTAAAAGGAGTGTGTTACTATTAATTGTTGCGCTTACTGACATTGATATCGCCAAGCAAATAGTATTCCTGGAATTGCATATCTATTTTTCGATGATTTTTTCAAAGTCGTTAAATATTTCAGGTGGAGCAATAGGTTGTACCACATGATGATGACACCAATTGTGGGGTGTGCACATTCCTCTATTTGAATTTTTTGAGTCTACTTCACAGACATGTCCCACGAACCCTTTATGAGAAGGTTTCTTTGGTAAATAGTCTAGTTTGAAGAGTTGAACCAAGTCGTTGAAGATGTAGAGTCATATGGGAGACGTTGGCCTGGTGGGAAAAAATAGGGAAGGAATGCCGGCTCAGTATTCCCTTCCCCTTGCCCTCTCCCCAAGAGAGCCTGATACGGGGGGGGGGGGGGGGGGGGGGGGGGGGGGCCAAGGGGGACAAATTGTACGCTTCGCGTAATGGGCTCCTAATAAACAGAAATACCATTATATATAAAGCCAAGCAATCTTCATGGAACTATTTTATTACATATACATTCATGTGCATATGAAAAGCATAATTATAAAACATGCTCAGTCTGTTAATCTAAAAAATTTTGTTGCGTACGAAATCCGCAAATTTTGTCGAACAAATAATAATTATATAACTCTTTATTCACAAACACAAATGTTCCCTAAATAAATTAAATGTTGCTTTATTAAGAAACAAGAACAGAAAAATACTAGAAACTAATTCATTAGAATCAAGATTTACCGAAGCACTTTGGCTTCGTTACCGACGTCACGGCCGCCATCTTTTTTTCATATCGGCCAACATGGGAGCCGTCTGGATAGGTCACGTGACTTTTCCCCGCATTTTTGGATATTAAGTGTATCTCGTCCTTAAGTTTGGAATTTCTTGTCTTTCATAAAAACGTTCTAAAATTATTGAACTTATATTAAGACGCCATCCAAAAAGACACGAAATAGCCACTTGACTACACTTCTTTCCATAAAGAAACTGAAGAAATATTTCAATATACAGCCTTCTATTTCGGGCCGGCCAATGAAATCTTGTTTCTATTCGATTCCTATTTCCAAGATATTTGTTCTACAATTTCGTAGACTATTATAACACAAGTTTTCTTGACAATTTTCGTGTGACATTTTGAATTTTTTTTTTGTCAGAACAAAATATGCTCCACATTTTACAGAATTATTATGTTTTATAAAAAAATCAGTTATGTAAATTTACGAGTCCGAATGCGTGCGAGCTATAGTACTCCTCAGCCAAAAAATATATACATTTCATTCTTTTTTTTACTACAAGGTAACCGGAAATTCTCAAATCTTTTCTTCTTTTGCTAACATTTTTGTTCCACTTTAACTTTATTCATGAATTTTAAGAGATACCAAAATCAACCAATCAAGTTTGTCACTTTGATGCCGGTTTGTTTTTCGTGTTATGATCGTTTTCAGCTTGGGCGAAATATTTTCTCGATTCAGACGAAGTGTCATTCCTTCGAGAATAAGATTCTTTCAATTCATAATTTCTAATGACACGTAGTTGCCGTTGTTGTGGAAAAGTTAGGGTTTAAGTTGAAACATCTACCGACTAGGATTGAAACATTAAAGAGTATCCTTTTACGACAAGGATAAAATCATGTATTTACCTAAATTAATGCTAAAATAACTTGTTAGTTCTAAAACAACGGAGGAAGGTTGCACTGCGCATGACCCGAAGCCATGCATGGCGAACGCGTTATGTAAATCAGGCAATACTGTAAAAGCGCCTTTTTTTCCTACTGTAATATTTCAGAGATTAAATCTCTCGTAAATGTGTGATTTTCATGAATAAATAAATATTAACAAACGTGTGATGCTTGTTATTCTACTTTGATTCGCTGTTTTAACCAATCAGGCATTTGAAATTTTTCTTGACGTAGACCCAAAGTAACGCGGGCTCTATCTTTTTGGAGCATGCGCAGTACATTTTAAACCATTTCTCCTTACGCCATTATTTATCATTTTCTAGACTAATTCGATTTTGAATACATCCAAGTACCAATGTCTACTAGTCTCGTCCTAGTGATGAGGTCAACAGGGATTCTTTGGGTCCTGGTATTACAGTTTGTTGCACTTCGTCGTATAGATTTTTGGAATAATTGATTTTTTGGGCGACCTGTGAATCAACCAAATAGGACACRTTTAGCGACATTCTTCGTTTGCAAGTCACGTCATTTCCATGTTAGCGGTATTGGAAAAATATTCTAACTAGCTTCTATTGTTAATAACACCAACATGGCCGCCTTGTCAACTAGAAAACTTACGGTTAACTTAACCCTCAGGCTCAAACACTAATTCTAGTTTTTTTCTTTCTTTGTTTTTCATGTCAGGACGTAGCAATGAAAAAAGTAGGGACTTTAAGATTTGCAAAGTCTACGACGGCGACTTCAACCGGAAGTGTAAATAATTTCTCTTTGGGGTTCTGTTCATTGGAGATTTCATTTTAAAAAATTGTCAGTAAAGTCAACTCATCCACAGGGAAGACAGACTTTGAAGGCGCGAAACCCCAAAGTGAAGTTATTTACACTTCCGGTAGACGTCGCCGTCGTAGATTTTGCAAATCTTAAAAGTTCTTAATGGTGATGGCGGCCACCGCGGCTCATACTATGCGTGTGGTTTTACACCTACCTTCTGTGCTATCTTTGCATTATCACATCTAACTCTTGGTCTTTTGCTGGGGTTTTTCGATGGTGTAGGTACACTGCTGTTATCTGCGTTCATCACGAGTTCGATGTAGAATTTGCCATCTAAAAAAA